ATCTGTAAATTGGGAAAATAACTCATGTCTCTAGCAGCTGCTACCAAGATTAAAAGGAGAGAAATGTTGTGGTATCTTGTCCTTAGTAGGTCAAGTATTCCCCCTTCTCCTGTCCATCATCTGAGGGAAGTGGCTTGGCCATCCAGGAAAAAGTGGACCTTATTTCTCTAGATTAAAGCAACACAATGTAGAAATTCTCTAGGCCAGGGTCATAGCAGAATTAATAGAATAACTAAAATAGAATAACTAGGTTAATTAAACACACATACACATTCATAAATCAGATCAAAACAAAGCATGCCACAAATAAAAATTTTCCTTTTCCTCACACTTGAGTAAAAGATCATTGTCAAATCTAGGTTGTAGCAGATCAGATATTCATACTTCCAGAAATGATGTCTCCTAACTAATAATCTTATAACCCAGACTGAGGCAAAGTTAAAATATAAGAAATCAGCATAGGTATACCATTTTGGATGTTGTACAAAGTCTATTCACATTGCTGTCCTCAAAACCCTTAACAGCCCTGGGAAGTAGGCAAAGCAAGTGTTATCATCCCATGTTCCCAAAGAAAATAGACTAGTCATGTTGCCCTTGATTCTCTCAAAACCATTATAATATCAGAGGGGAGCAGTTGTGGAAAAAATTACATTCAAGTTGTTTCTGTGCAAAAAACATTATCTACCTTAAAAAAATACACATATATCATTAAATTAAGAACAACAGAACCCTTAAGTAGGCCATTCATCACTCCTAATCTATGAAAATATGATTATACTTTGATATAATGATAAAAATTAATGTACATTGATTTCACTTTCTCTTATTTTCTGAAGAGAATTAAAAAAAAGCAAATGTGATTTTAGAACCGGGATGCCCAGGAAGATGTGCCTGGTCCCTTTTGGTCCATGAATGTGGACTTGGGAATCTGCCAGCTATGCTTCATAGTCCAAAGAGCCTAACTAGAAATCTTATATTTTCTCTCATATAAGTAAGCCACCCAGACTAATTAAAATCACAATTTTTTCTCTTGGCTGGAATTTTGGTAACATCAGAGATCACATGATAACCAAAGGCCTTGGTTGGTCTTGGTTGACATCACAGAAATTCTGAGGTCTGCAAGCAGGACCACCTGCGACTTAAGCTCCATGTCCAACTATCTCAATTCCTACACTGAACAGCCAGGAATCCTGGTCGTGAGTACCTACTCTTAAGTCCACACTCCAATCCTTCAAGACAAACAGCCTTGGGGTGTAAAAAGTTCATGCACATGAAGTCGAGTAATATAAACAAGTCCTAGGTGATTAAGAGGTTAGGAGCCACTGGCCTATCTTTGGGGGCTACTAGCCCTCTGATGAAGTTAGGGAATAAAGGGGTAGTCACTGATCGGGTTTTCTTTCAAATAATGACATGAGAGGTATTTCTCCACACAAGTTTCTCTAGGCCCTAATAAAAACACAGTATGAAATGACTAATAAGGATTTTATCTTTTATGTATATGAATATACTTAAATATTTTTACCACCTGCCAGAGTATTAAAATGAACGCTATTAACTATGGGAAAAGAGGGTAGTAGCCCTACTATTCACAAGTGAGGGGTAAAGGAAAATGAACACATTTCATTCTCACTTTCTTTATGAGATTTTCCAATTGAAGTGGCAGTAAATGGATGAAGAACATAGATTTTGGAGTAGAAGATGAGTTTTGGTTTACAAATAAAAATGGAAGTAATACCTTCCTGTCCAAAGGAAGTGTTATTACTGAAAGAACACTGAATGATTCAAATCAATGTATCTTTTCCTTTCAATTTCAATTCAGTCAATTACTTGAAGTTTGAGTAACTTGCCTAATTCTTCTAAGCTTTAGTTTTTTCCCCTATGAGCAAATAACACCACTTGTCCTTCCAATCGCATAGTTTGATTTCGAGGATATGAGATAATTCTGGTCAGAAAAAAAAAATCTTGTAAATGGTACAGCAAATATGCTAATGCAAATTTATTATCACATCTAAAATAGATGCTACATTTTTTTTGCTCGGATATTAATTTAGGCCAAATCTTCAAGGAATTATTTTGGTTTTTTGCCTGCTGAAAGACCATAAATGCAACAAGTTTTTATTCCAGTTACTATGCTGAGGCCACTGTTTGGATGGTATAAACTGCACCTATCTTCAACTTCAGCAGGTCAGAATAACATACCTTGTCATGGAGATTATTTCTGAGGTGCTCTTTGCAGGCTGCAGTTAGTACTGAAGGTTTTGTTTCAATAGCTGTGAAGTGAATCAATCTTCCCACCAGATGTGAATGAAGCATGGAACCCGGGCCAGAGAGTGCTGGTGGCCATCTTGATAGCGCGGAAAGAGTAATGCTAGAGCTGAGAAAGCGGCAGAGAAAAGATGTCTTTGCTCTGATAACATGGTCCTCTGGACTAAATTGTATTAAAGGTCAGTGTACTTCCAGTTTTCTGTTTGGTGAGGCAATACATTTTTGCTTGAATTTGTTTTTTCTATTCTTGCAAGTAATCATAAAAAATATACTATGTAAACTTGAGCAAGTTTCATTCACCCTCCAAATTTCAGTTTCCTGATCTATAATGCAGAAAAATAGCTACTGTATATAAGGTTGCAGTGAGGCTCAATAATGCTTGGAAAATGCTTTGGTACAAAGTAAACATTCAATAAGTGGTGGCTATTTTTAGTTGTTTGGAATTCAAAACATTGTGCTAAATGTATTAAGTACATCATTTCCTTATTCACATCAACATGTAAGATACAATTATTATACCTATTTTACACATGAAGGAAGGAGCATCAGAGAGTTGAAGTGACTTGCCCAATGTTCCAAACCTCCTGAAAAGCAGAGATGTCATGAAGTATGATTCTTTCTCCTTTGACCAGATGGTTGATGCTGAGTGTCAAGTATCAGTAAAAGGTTAAATGCCCTATATATAATGTGCCCAATCTATTAGGCATTAGAGACATAGCAATAAACATACCTATTCCTTTTGAGTTTAGTTTTAGGTCACAGTCTTAGAAATATCTGGATTATTAGATTAACTTCGTGCCTTGGATATTGGTCTCATATCCCTAATAACTGAGCTAACCAGCTAACAACATCACCTATAAGGATATGAAAAGTACTGACAGTAAGTTACACAATTAAATGCAGAACACATAGAGGTTGTTTGCACATACAACCTAAAATGTATGTATACTTATTACATTTCAATAGCTATTTAATTTCTCCTAAAACCCTAAGATGAAATGTAACATTTCCTTTATATTTATTGATTGCATGGGTTTTTTAAAAATCTTTCATAACCACTATAAAGGTATTGTCTCTATGCGTTTTCTGACACGATGTCAACTTTGTATAATTTTCTAGACAGTTTGAACAACACAATTAGATGTGATAATGGGATGGAAGACAAGGCAGACTAGGGTCTCTTCTACACTGTTTTCTTAGGAAATCTGCAGGGAAATCTAACGGCGTGTTTTATTGTCTACCTCTAGGTGATATTCTCCAAATGTTTTTACATGTTATATAGTGTCTCTGACAGAACTCCAATCACTAGGAGTGTAAAGAATAGCTACATGGAGTACAGTTAATCTGAACTTCCTCCTCACAAGTGTCTTGAGTAGAGATCATGAAATTCCTTACAAATAATCTACTGTAAACCCTGAAAAACATAAATAGGCTCTGAATTTGTATTCTTAACAGTTAGGTAAATATTTTGTCTAAGAAAATGCAACAGTGTGGAGACACATCCCAAATGAGAAGTCACAGTCTTTTATAGTCAGAAAAGCTTTCCTACCGCATCCCAGGCTTTTCATGTTAATTTTGAAAGAGGCTGAGAGGAAGACCAGAAAAGCACCCTGCAGATAATGTGATCCCTGATTTTATAATTACAAAATTTTTACTTGTATTAAAACTACACAAGTAAGGTAACAAACAATTGAGAATAGCATTTGTTCCTTGTCTCTTGAAAGCTTAGTTTTAGATACAGGAGAATTGTGGAAATGGACAGATTTATAGCAAGATAGATTTAGCTTTGCACTTCTTAGGTGAGATAACTTTGGTATATTATTTATATGTATGTCCAAATCTGTTTCTCATTGTAAAATGAGAATGATAAAAGCTATTTCATAGGGTTACGGAATACATGAGCCCCATTCATAATAGATACTCAGTAAAAGGTGGTTTCTTTCTTTCTTTCTTAACTCTTCTTTCTTTCTTAATTCTCTATAAAACTATTTACTTAATACACATTTCCCAAAAAAATGTCCTTAGGAATATAACCTTGACATCACTAGAATTCACCAATTTGGGAATAAATATTACATCAATGATAACACATTTTAAAAACTCATTTCCATCTTTACACAATATAGTAATTTCTGGAAATCAGTACAGATGTGTTTAGTGCTGCTTCTTTCATCTTTTCTAGTTCTTTGTTGACATCTTCTGCCCAGGGAGAGCAACTTGAGGGCTGCACCTTGTCCTTGTCCCTTTTGGTGGTACCCTCCTGAGAACAACGTGGTTGCCTTCTCTGATATCCCAAGACTCTTAATATCATCAAGGAACCAAAACGACTTGACTTTTTGTTAAGATCTGAGTGCAGAGCACACTGCATCTGTGAAGAAATGCCCCTGTCTCCCATTGTGTTTCTCATTTTGCCAGGTGGATCACAAACAGCGCTACTTGTGTCTCCCTATGAAAATGGTCTCTTCGGCTTCTGTGAATAGCCATTTTAACCTCATCATCATTGCGAGGACCAGGACATCCCTGGGTTCCCTAATTCACAAAATCACACCTCAATGCAAACCAGTTTATGCAAACAGATGCTTCGGATTGTTAGTTTCCCAGTTGATCATAACTACCCAGGCTCTGAAATCCAGTTTAGGCTCAGCTGGAACCCTCTCTACAATAACAATTACTGCACATTCTGATTTCTCATCCACTGGAGGTCTTCCAAATCAAAAGCAAGAAGGAGACAGAGCAAAATGTATAATATAAATTTATTCTGTGACATTTTCCTCACTGAAGATATATTAAAATACATCAATATTTCATGAAATATACCTACTAGAATTTAGATAATACTTGTAATATACATGATTTGACCCTGAATATCCATTTTTTTCATTCACACATCATTTTTTAAAAAATAACATAAAAATGATAAGGACTGCTGCATTCTTCATACATCCTGTATCTCATAAATTTTAATTCAACTCCCAGTTCTTTTCTCAACTATGTATGTTAACGGTATTTGCTTCTGATTTTGAACAGGAAGAGTATCCATTTTCTGTTTCTTAACAGTAATATTTAGGTCTTCTTTCTTGGATTCTTCAAGAAAATTCTTCATGCTGAGCTTGAATAGTAATCGAGGGTCTGGTCCTGAAAGTGGTGGGCAATTACAGATCTCTCTAATTTTCAGAGCCTATAAAGAAAGAATGCAATACATATATACATATGTAGATATACATATATATGTATATATTAAGATTATTCAGTAATCTTAATATGCTCTATGCAAAACAATGAAATACAGCACAGTGCAATCTATATTTTTGTAATAAAAAGTATTTCAATTACAATACATGAAAGACAACTATAGATTCATGGTAAATAGTTACATTTTCATAACATTTTCTCATAATAATATATTTCTTTAAAAGACAACTATCTTTAACAACTGTCTGATGCCCTGTTGGAGATAAACAGACTTATGAGAGGTAGTCTGTATGGTCTCAGTCAAACTCAAGGTAACCCTGAGAACAACTCTTCAGATTAGAAAAGATCTGAAGATTCTGAGAGATTTTTTTTCAAGAAAGGAAAAACAACAGAATACAGATATCTGAACATCCTAAAAGAAGATATACATAACTGGGACAGTCTGGTTTGGAATTGATGCTAATAACCTAGAAAAGTAAGCAAACCAAAACCATCAATTTTTAACTCCAGAAAAGTAAAGAACAAGCTGTAGGGCAAGGAAAAGTAATCAGCATATTACATGACTCAGCTATGAATAGTGTGTTTACAATTTTTAAAATACTGAATCTTGATCTAATTAAAATCACAATTTAATCATATTTAGGAAGGCGGAGAGCTAGACATGTGTGTGCACATGCAAAGGTGCAACAATGCTAAGGGAAAGCTTAATTCTTATTCTCTATAGGGGAAAGTAAACAGATAATCCTTGAAACTGAAAATTTAGGAAGTAGCAATAAGCATGCTACATAGATATTTTGGGGAATATCAAAAGAATTACATAATAGAGTTGGAAATAGTTACTACTGAAATTGAGGGCAAGGTAGGGGAACTGTTACTTCAAGTAGCTAGCCTTAAGAGAACTATGTGACTCTTTAAAGTGAGTATATAAAAGGCTTTAAGGGAAATGCAAACAAAGCTTCAATGAGTTATCACCTCACCCATGTGAGAACAGCCCTTATTAAAAATAATGAAATCACAAGAGCTGACAAAGTTGTGGTAAAAAAGTAAGTCTCATCAACTGTAGGTGGGAATGCAAGATGGTACAGGACCTTTGGAAAACAGTATGGAGATTTCCTAAGAAAGTAAAAATGGAAATTCCATATGATTCAGCAATACTTCTATTAAGTATTTATCCTAAATATATGAAAAGTCTCTAATACAAAAAGATTTATGTACACCTATTACACAGTAGCACTGTCCACAAATGCCAAGTCATGGACCCGACCTAAGTGTCCCCCCCTTTTTTTTTTTTTAAATAGAGGAATGTTTTATTTATTTATTTGTTTGTTCGTTTGTTTTTGTTTATACATGCACTGGGTACAGTCAGAAGTGCGGGAGGGTGAGAGAATTCACCAGAGCCAGAGCCGGGAGCAGAGCAGGCAGAAGGACCGAAGTACACTGCTGAGGGGAGCAGCAGGCGACAGGAGAGGTCTGCGCCATGTGGGACCCTCCTCCGGTGGCCGGGGAGCAGCCGGGGATCGAACCAGCGCCACAGAGGCCGCGGGCAGCTTCGCAACCCAGCGCTCAACCACTGCGCCACCAGGGAGGCCCCCGACCTAAGTGTCCTTTAACAGATGAACAGAAAAAGAAACTGTGGCATATATACTCAATGGAATACTACACAGCTGTGAAAAAGATGAAATAGTGGCTTTGGAGACAAAATGGACAGAATTCAAAGTGATTATGTTAAGTGAAATAGGTCAGAAAGCAAAAAATAGATATTGGATGGTTTCACTCATCTGAAGAATATAAATAACTAAAAAAAGATACACAGACAGAATACAGTAGGAATAATCTTAAACTCAGTGAAGAAATTTAATGGTTACTAAAGGGAAGAGGGGTAGGGGAAGATAGAATATATGAGGTATTGGCACAGGTAGTTTGGCAGAGGGTGAGTAGAACATGTGTACATATGAAAGAGCAAAAGTGTATGCACCAAATTAATTTTTTAAAATTAAAATTTTTTTTAAGGAAAAAGTTTTAATATTTAAGGGGTATTAAAAGAAAGATACTTAGAGGGGAAATTAGTTTCATTTTTAAGTGGCAACTTTTGACAGTGATACCCATTATTAAAGGAAGTAAATAAAGAGCCTCCCCTGGTGGCACACCGGTTGAGCGCTGGGCTGCGAAGCTGCCCACAGCCTCTGCAGCGCTGGTTTGATCCCCGGCTGCTGGCGAGGGTACCACATGGTGCGCAGAACTCTCCTGCCGTGCCTGCTGCTCCCCTCAGCAGTGTGTTTCGTCAGTCTGCTTGTTCTGTTCCCCACTCTGGCTCTGGTGAATTCTCTCACCCTCCCGCACTTCTGACTGTACCCAGTGCTTGCATAAATAAATAAATAAATCTTTTTTAAAAAATAAAGTAAATAAAGAGGGAATAAAATAAACACTCCTCAGTAGAAAATTTGAGAGACTAGAGAGGAAAGGTCTCACTGACAAAATACTGACTTTGACTGGTAGGGGAACAAGATCTGAAGGATATGAGGAAAGAGGTCATGTGAGTAGAAGAAGAGCATTCCAAGAAGAGGGAGAAACAAGTGCATCTGAGATGAGTGTGTGCCTTTAGTCTTCTGGAAAATCGAGGAAGCTAGTACAGCTGAAGTACAGCAGGGTGGAGGGGGTGGGAGAACAGGGACAGATAGAACCTCTTAGGTCATGATAAGGATTTTAGGTTTTACTCTGAGTTGGCCCATCCTTGATACACATGAGGTCTTTCTAAGAATGCAAATGGAGGCTCAGATACCATGTGTTTAAATACCTAAAAGCTGTAAGTCAAGCTAATAAGCTACTATATGTCAAGCTAATAAGCTACTAATAAGTATGTTCTATTCTCCTATTTGGAGGTATACACATTTCAAAACCACCCTAGAGGACAGGTAGAGAAATAAAATACTTGATTTTCTGAATATGTAAAATTAGGGCAAGCTTTCCCCAATTCCTGCCACTGGCCTGTTGTCTACCCACTTCTCCTCCCACCCACGGCTTACCCGACACTGTGAGGGGCCTTGTGTGCCTGCTTCCAAGGTAAAAGGTCCACATAGTTCAGAGGAGCAGTCCCATGAGTGTGGGGATGAGGAATTTCTATGTCAAATACCTATAGAGCTGTATGGTAGGGATACAAGTTCTTATACAGGAACATTTCTTTAAATCTGACAGCAGCAAGGGGCATGAAGCCAGGAGCAAGCCAGAAAAAGGTCTTCTAAATGGATGAGGCAGGAGCTTTGATCGAGGAGTACATCTGATTCTAAATGAGGTTCTCAATTACCAAAACAAACTAAAGAGGAAAAAGCATTAAAGTGAAATTCTTTGGTGACAGTGGGCCTCGTCTGAATTTTCTTCATATCTTGTTAAAGTATCTTCCATCTACTGGATGTTAAAAAAAAATGTTCATTCAAGTAAACTGAACTGAAGAAAACATGAAAATGTTTCCCAACAATAGCACTGAAGTAAAGCGGTAGTCAGACCCTTAGCTACATAGTGTGACTCACTGTCCAAGCCAGGATCATCTTTGAGATTCAAAGGAACTATTAATAGAATTGCAGTGAGACATCAAGCATAAACTGAGACTGTCCTGGAAAAATTGCGACAAACAGTCTACTCTTGCTTTAATGCCTTCACGACCATGTGGATATTCATTTCCACATGAAAAGCTGATCTGTCACATGCCTAAAGGCCTTCACTAGTATCAGCAAGGAGGCAAGTGTGGAGTCCATCAGGTAACAGCTGGCAGCTGAGTTTAGCAATGAGGATGCAAAGCAGCAAAGGGAAGAACATAATTCCATCTCCTGTAATCTTTTATATTCAGTAAAAGCTCTTCTCTTTTCCTTAAGTTCTTTTATTCAGTATTTTTACATTCAACAAATGTTTAGACTACCACACTGAAAAAGGTACTAGGTACACATCAGTCAGAATAGTGATGATCTCTGCCCCCATGCAATTTACTTTGTATTTTCTCACTACTATGCTTCTGAATTGTTTTCAGTTTTATTTTGTTTGACTTTTATAAATTACCCAACTATGAAAAGTCTTTTCAAAAATGTTATTTTTAATCTCCATTTGATTTACCTAAGTACATCCCCCCCAATTAAACAAAAATGATCTGATCAAAGTGTAAGAAGAGTTTCTTCATTTACAACTGAAAAAATTGAAACCCAGAGAGGTTAAATAACTGGCAGGAACAAAACCTGCTTGGCAAATGTTTATAGCAGCTTTATTCACAATTGCCCAAGTTCAGAAACAACCAAGATGTCCTTTAATAGGTGAATGGATAAATAAACTATTACATCCAGACAATGGGATGTTATTGAGTACTAAAATGAAATCCAGTACCAAGCCATGAAAAGACATGGACAAAACCTAAATGCATATTACTACGTGAAAATAAGCTAATATGTAACTTCAAAGATGTCACTGGGGAATTGACTCCAACAGCAAGGGAAACAATCAAACTATACCCAAGTTTCTATACAGTGGAAAAAAAAAAAACCCATCATTAAAATAAAGACACCCTACTGAATGGAAGAAGACATTTGTACTTCATACACACTAATATCCAAGTTCTACAAAGAACTCATGCAACTCAACAAAAAGAAAATAAACAACTCAATGAAAAAATGGGCAGAAGAGCTAAATGGACACTTTCCCAAAGATATACAGATGGCAAACAGGCACAGGAAAAATGCTCATCACTTATCATTTGGGCAATGCAAATCTACACCACAATGAGATAACACTTTCCACCTGTGAGAATGGCCCATACCAGTAAGAACAGAAACAACACATGTTGACAAGGATGTGGAGAAAAAGGAACTCTTGTACACTGGTGGTAATGTAGACTGGTCCAGCCCCTAAGGAAGACAGTATGGAGGAGTCTCAAAATATAAAAAACAGATCTAATATATGATCCAGCAATCCCAACCCTAGGTTTCTATCTGAAGAATACTAAAAACT